GAAGGCTGCGGGAGCAGAGTCACCGGAGCCAGAGCCTAGGGAATCGGCTACGTTCCCTCTTCCTGGCCCAACCGTATCTGTGGATGCATGATCAGGTAAGGAAAGTTCTTTCCGGTTATTGATCAACTGCATCCGCAGTTCACCAATCTGTGATGAGGCGTCGTCGTTATAGGTTACTTGTAAATTATTGCGGGCCGAGCATGATCTTCCATCATGGCTTTCAAGGTAGCAGAGACTTGCTCTGCTTACCTCCCACCTCTCAATGTTCTAGATCCACCTCTCTTTGCGATCCACGATGCTGTTTTTCTATTCTGGCGGGCAATATGAGATTACGCTTTGCCAGCAGATACCCATTTCAAATGTTCGTTGCTATTTCATGGACTTATGCTATGTCCTCCATAAAGCTTTGCATGGTCGTTTGGTCTCTTCTGAGACAGGTCTCTTACTTAGGCCCAAAGGCAAACACTATTGACTACTGGCCGGCCGTTCGGCACTGAAGATTAAGGTTATCTAATTCTAAATATAGAAAGGAAGAGAAAAGGATCCTAATCATCACTGGGATGTTTTCCGCTGCAGCGTTGGCCCTATCACAATTGAAAGGGTACGGGTAATCGGAGCCACAAACTTTTAAATTCTGCTAATAATTCTGATAACTTTGATAATTGACGTGAATGATAGACGAATCTGGGATTCTTGATACAGGGGACAAAGCTCACTTACACGCTTAAACAGAAAGATTCCTGAACAGAATGAGGATATATCCCTATAAGGCATAACGCCCTCGGCTGATTACTCTATGCTCAATGGGTGCAACGTGCTATTCACCATTTACCACAATTCAATCCATTCGCTACTGCGGTATTTCATTCCCCACCCTCGCCTCCTTCTCTCCCCAATCACCCAGCCACCAAACGCTTGCATCTCCCCATGATAATTCCACATTCTCAGCATTTTTGGCATTAAATCATGCAGACCAACTTCGATATGGGAGACGGTAGAGAGATCCGCATCTTTGGGGATTTGTGGCTACCAGATCCCGAGCAAGTTTTACCCGAGCAGGAGCTGCTCCATGTAAGGAGATTGCTCATACTTATAAAAGAATTTGAGGTTCGACAAGCTGAAGGGCCAAAAAGAATTGAGAGTAAGTCCCATCGCTGTCCAGCTGAAGTTTAATTAAGCCTGATCCATGAGCAGGCCAAACTTCCTTACCTAGTTGGAATCTCGATGAAGCATATGAGCGTTTTCGAAAAAAAGAAGCCTCTTGGTGGCAGAAACGAGGCGTCACTCGTCCCAAAGAATATCTGGTTCGCCCGAGTAGCCAGCTTGATGCTGCTGTTGCCTGCCATCTATACATTCCCACATTCAGTGTTGATGATCCCCATTTTCAGGAGACCGAGGACCTTTCAAACTCCTCTGTCGCGCAGCTCAACAGGGCTGGCTTTTCAACGGAGAATAACTGTTTGCTTTTCGATCACCTAGTCCGTAGAGATGTTAGCAGACATTGCAAAGATATTTACCCCGAAGATCTCATTGATATCCATGAAGAATTCGTCTTTGCACTCCGAGCGGCGATGAAGGCGAAGGTTGAGATTTGCTGGGGGGGCAATGTTCGCCATCGAATGCTCAAGAAACTTGATCTAGAGCCCCTTCTCCTTTGGGGTGACTTTGCAGGCTTTCTTCTGTATCTAGAGTTGACGCCTCAAAGAACGGGCTTGAAGCGTTTTGTCATTTTTATTGCGCACCCTCAGCGTTTCATGTACGTCAAAAATGACGCAGAGAGAGCCCAAGCCTGGCGTCGCCGATTTGGAACCCCGCAAGATCGAGCGCTGATGGTCGCTGCTCGATTAGGTGGCATACAAATTTCACCAAACTTCTACACACTAGATTCCCGGTTACCTCAAAATCTATGTGTGCCACGCGAACTCAGTACTAAGAGGAGCTTTTGGAAAGGTCAAGCGGTTGCCCAGTTGAAAAAAGCCTTCCCAGGGGCCACGTTTTCAACAGAGAAGTCGTATTTCATCCGTGCCACGAAGGAAGACAAAGCGGCACTTCAACAAATCTTTGCACTGCTGGGTCAACTCAAGCCCGGGCAGGTCAGTGAAATCACTAACCCGCAGTCAAATGCCATAGACGACATGATTCTGGTATGAACAATCTGCATCCGTCTTCCCCTTCCAGTCTGACACCCAATAGAGAAGGACTCGAATTCATAGGATAGCGAAATATTGGCATGGCCTAAATGAACTACTATCTGGGATTATACCTTGCATCGGTGCCACCACCCGGCTGACACAGGCAGTCAACGTACAGACAACGATCGGCTTTCTTCCAACCGAGTTTTTGGCAGAATTCCAAAAGTCGGATTGCTGGGACTGGGCGGATCTTCCTGATCCAGTGGTCGAGTTCATACAGGCGCAAAACGGTCTAAAATTCAACAAGCGCGAAATATCCTGTCGATCGGATCTTGAGGTTGCTTTCTATCTCCTCCAACAATGCGAAGGGCAATCCTGCGACTTTAGACATCCTCTCACTTGCAATCTCGGTTTTGACTGCTTACGGCTGGATGATTGCTCGTCCAAGGAAGCCCTCCGTCGATAAACTCCTGATACTCCGCGGGTCTCCGAATGATATTGTGGCCCGAAAATGTTCGGGATGTGCTAAGGAATACCTAGACGACCCTTTCGCCTACTGGTCAAAGACTGATCCGGCTTGCTACATTATTTGGGGTCGATTTAGATCCAGCTACGGCCGGCCAGATTGCAAGATGCAAAACGTTAACCTTTTACCTCAATGTAAATTGATAAAATACTTGCGTGCGACCAAGAAGGATCTGGAAAAGCAATCTCTCGACCAGTTTGGCAAGTGGTTTCTACTTCCACCACCAGAATTTGGAGAACTTCCGCTCGAGCTTGAAGTCAAGTGCCAAGGCAAAGACTGCCAGGAAACAAGAACGGTCAGGGCGCGGTGGACAGCCCACACAACGCCGAGTTTCTGGTAGCAGTGCACAAGTGTGCAAAGTATCAAAGGAAAACAGACTGGATGCCTACGGGCTACCCGACTATTCATGGTGGAACCCTTAGTGTGCTGTGGAAAAGGTTTCATGTCTCAGGATTCGAGATCACTCATTACCCGCGAAGACCCGATATTTACTTCAACAAAGGCCTCAGTATCTCGGGACGAATCGCTGCTCTAATCGAGGTACAAAAGCTGATCGAGGCCGACAAAGTAGTCAAACGGAAGAGGAAGGCCTGTGAGATAGACGAAGTGTGAGGATACTGCTACCTTACTGCAGAACCCTCTCCAATTGGGAGGTTAGATGAGTCGTGCAATATTGTGGGTTGCGAAGGCACCCCACCATGTGTAACGACATTCATCCTACTCCGTAGAAAAAACAATCTCTTGGGAAGTAAGGGATTTGGGGTGTAAGAATTGAGTAGGAAAAAAAGATAGGGCCCGAACCGCGATTCGAACGCGGGACCTCCTGCATATTCATTTCCCGAAGCAGGAATCATACCTGATTATGAACTGTTAGAACAGAACGGGAAAATTTTGGATGATTGTAGAACATACCACTAGACCATCCGGGCAGTATTGGATAAGGAAGAGTTAAGTATAATAGTATCTAAGGGGTGTGTATAAGAGTGCCTGTCCCGAACTGCTAGCTTCAATAAAGAAGGGCTAAAAGGCCAATAAAGACCGCAAAGTGGCATAACCATCTTGCAATGAAGAAACAAAATATCAGTTCCGGTGGAGGTTGTATGTTCTCTGCGTTTATTCGTCTTGAGGTAAGTCGGGTGCCACGGGTACCTAGTAGCAACCCTCTTGCATCGTCTGTCCTATCTAACCGGCAAGGAGATTCACTGCGTACAGCCGGGGTAGCCAGGCACTGATTGAGCGGTTCGACCGCAGACTAATAGTCCACACAATTAGCGAATAACATGAGTGAGTGTTGACATAGTATGAAGGAGTGAGGCATTGGACCATCTATTTTGAGGGTAGAAGAGTTGAGTGAAGGTACATACAGAAAGGTGGAAGCGGGCTGGTTCATGGAAGAGATGGTCCGGATCAGGGATTGAAATGCTAACAAGGGTACAAATGCAGGCCATGCAGTCACCAGCGAGAGTCTGTGGAGATGCAAATACCCATTTATATAGACATATAGAAGCATGGGGCTGGGGCTTGTCTTGCTAGTCAAGGTCTAAAAAAGACAGAGCAAAAAAAAAAGTAAAAAAGGAAAAAGAAGAGGGCCCGAACCGCGATTCGAACGCGGGGCCTCTCGCATTTAAGATGGTGATCCCAAAGCGAGAATCATACCACTAGACCATCCGGGCTTCTTGTTGTAGAAAGGAGAAAGCTTGGAGTATCTATACCCAAAGGCAAGGACGAGCAATCCATGCGAAGATCATCTACTTCATTGCAACAGCCTGCGGGTAATGGTATCTCATAACAGGCGCTTATATATACAGCCTGATGATTCACTATTCCATATTGACAGCAATGAGAATGATGGGAAAAGGAGGGAATCCGAGGCCACTGTGTATAAGGTGAGGCGAAGACGCGATGTGTGAGGAGGGTGGGGGGAGGCGATTTCCCCAGAGAAGAAACGTACGGGCCTCTCAAATTCATTTTCCGGACGAAAAACCTGGACGTATCGCATTTACTCCGTAAAATAAAATTAATACAAATGTACTTACGCCACTTGGGCAATTTTACGTGGCATGGGAGTGGATCGCAGACACGAATGATCCAAGTCAATGAAAATTGGGGTAAAAAAAAGATTGATGGGCCCGAACCGCGATTCGAACGCGGGACCTCCTGCAGTTTCATATCCCGAAGCAGGAATCATACCTGATTTCCGCTGTCAGAACGGCAAACGTGACGAATTACTTGTATGGAAGAACTCACCACTAGACCATCCGGGCAACTGTTGTGAAAACTAGTGCAAAGAAAGCATCATACAGTAGATACTACAAGTACATAGATAAGCAAAAAGTTAAGTGGGCCCGAACCGCGATTCGAACGCGGGGCCTCCTGCATGCTCGTATCCCGAAGCAGGAATCATACCTGATGTGAACTGTTAGAGCAGACCACGGGATTATAGCATTGCAGAACAACTTACCACTAGACCATCCGGGCAATTGTTATGTAATCCAACCTGCAAGCAGGTCAAGGTTTCAAGGAAATCTCTTTTCTGGTGAATATTGGAGGTCTAACCAGAGACAATGCAAGTGTACTGTCGGGTTGTTCAATCAAACCTTGCTAAAACTGACTGAAAAAGTATTACTAGCAGGAAAATGACTGAAACACCCACTGGGGGCTTCCGAGGACAGGAACTGCTTTAACAATGCAATGTATAATCTGAACTGACAGATTTGCAGACCGAGACAAGTATGGTGGCGCTGGGCAACGCCTTAACCGAGTGGCGTTTGGCCGATACGCAGCCTGGTTAGTAGTCCACTACCCACTGCTGCTAGGCTGGGTAATGTGGGGTGTGAGTCCAGGAGATTTTGCTATGTGCGCCTTCACGATGGAGAGCCATTGTGATGGTGGACTAGGGTAAAGTATGTGTGGAAAGGATGCGCAGGGAGCAGGGGATGTCTACGGTGGTACCCGGGGATTTTCACATGGCTCCGATTTTGTAGAAATCGGGACATGATTGTTCTTTGGTATGATACCGGTTGGTGTGAGTATATATTTATGTATGTATATATATATATATATGCTATATCACGGGCTGACCTGTACACTTGAGCCAGCCTTTACGGTATTTTTATAGGTGTCAGTGGTCGTCGTGACACATCAATGCCTTCGAGGTTTGAGACACACTTGGATATGGGCAGACGTTCTTTATATACGTCAGTGTCATCCTACATATGGAGCGATGACGGGCGTCGGCGATGAACGGCCCTTCATTCTGATTTAGGCCAGTCGCTGCCTGTCTTCGGCATGCTCTCCGGACGGAGATCGGGAAGCTTGGTAGTTTTCTTGGATAGGCTAAACCTGCTATTAATGGTTATGGGGCAAGGCTATGGTGATATTGTTCTGTTGGATTATAGTATGCTCCGCCGTGTTTTCCACCTTGTTTACTCCTGGGGGTAGACCTGCCTTTTCTAGCGGGCATTATTACCAGTCTTACTTAACACAGAGACATGGTTCACAGGCTTAGCACAGCGGTCTTAATGTGACCTACCCATGGAGGGTGAACAGCATGGCGTGGTAAAATTAATCAGAACTTTTATATATTTTATATGGAACCTATTTATAATCACCAGCGCTGTGACTACTGGCTCCTAGCTCCAGTTGGTATGAGATGGCCTAGAAGGATCTCAATCCTTACGCTGGGTCTCAGCTAGGGATATTGTCAAATCGAAACCCCTTTCACAAACTTACAACTACCTCCCTGTTGGTTTTATATCATTTGTCCGTAATTACATGACTTGGTCGCGTGTCAGGCTCTGACAACGATACGCCACCATCTTCGAATCTACAAGATACTATATATAATTCCAGCGCATCTGCTAACTAAATTATATACTCGAAGAACAAAGCCTGGCTGATCATCCGATTATATAAGATCAGACGAATGTCGCAGCTATCAACCACAGCACCACTACCTGTCCTAGCTGTAGATTGCGTGACTTCAGATCGTCAATGTTCACATGCGTCGAGAGAAGTGGTCCGGGGGCTTGTAGATCTGGGATCGGTAGGTATCCATATACCGGTGTATGTACATGGTATTCCCACTGAAATACATGGTCATAACATGGAGGGTTGCATACTTGAAAGTAACTGCTTCCTAACGGTCTGGGTTTGAATGGTGATCGACTCCCAACTGCCTCTATATTGACTAGCTCTTCTAGTAGCTCTGAGTTTACTGCGCTCGGGATCCTGAAACCATCCAACATATCTTCTACTCCGATGGATTAACTAGCTGGGCCATACCATATTCCCATGACACAGTGCAATCTATTTCTGCGAGGAAGGATGCCTGCTGCAATTAGTTGACTAAACTACCAGCAGGCGTCGAGCAATCACGGTCCAGCGGATGGCAGGAAAAGGCCCATCCAGTCTCCCGATCCTGGCAGATCCACGGAACATGACCGACAAACCGGTTCTTTTGGATCGCTTTGTTCCCCAACGGTACACAGACCTTTAGCAACGTCACCAATGATCTGCGCGTAAAATGAGCTGACTGGTGATCGGACGTGCAGGGCCATCTCTGTCTTCGAGTTTTCGTTTGACTCTGGCAGTAGCGCACGGGGGGCGGGACCACCCGTCCCACACATGGAGACAAGATTTTCAAGGGGCTATCTACATGAAGGTAAACTCGGGTGCCTGCGGGAGTTGAGCGTTCGGTGAGGGTGAGGATAAAGTTGGTGGGCGAGAAAACTGAGACAGACATCGTTTGCTCATCAGGGCTGCAGCCAACACCCTCTCCAAGAGTTTGGCTCGATTCGAGGCCGCTATGGTTTCTCCATAGTAGGAGAACACCGTGGAAGGTCATCCTCATGCAACATCAGTAGGTAGGTATGCTCTCGAATCAGACAGCACGAGGGGGCAGCTGAATCTAGTTAAGTCGCAGGCGAGAAGGTTCCATCCAGGTGCTTGGCAGCCGAGATAGTCGGCGTTAGTGGATTTTGGGCGAATCCTTCGGGGCCCTGGTCACTCTAGCGATTCCCTCGCTACTAAATTATCAGATGCCAATTCCACTGGTCAGGGGGAAGGCGGAGAATTCTGGCTACAGGATTCGCCCAGTAGCAGCCCTCCTCCGCACGCTGCATCGTGGCTCTTCCACTCTGCAATCATCGCGGGTGGATCGAGTGGGGATCTGGAAGACGAAGGAAGGCCAGTCGATGGTAGTCTTTCCACGGAAGGTTGTGAGGTACCATACAGTCGCTGTTCTCAATTGGACAGGCATTGATGCGGGATTTTCTTGTGCAGAAAAAGGTTATCCTACCGCGAGGTCAGTTAGTCAATTAGACTAGGTACCAGGGTCAGATCACCAGACACCGCAGCAGTGAGTCTTGGGAGAGGAATATGATCCACCACTAGGGTCGATCGTGCTCGCCAGCAAATGAAACGGACGAGCGGAATTCTTGACCGTGATACTGACCGTTTGTTTGACAAGGAGGTTGACTGTCTCAAGGGACCGTGTTCGGGACAGTAGGTGGCTAGGTGCACAGAGTAGAAGTAGTAGTAGTAGATAGTATGTGGGTGATCTGCACCATTGAGAGGGAGGCTGGCGGAAGGAGAGAATGAGAGACAGCCTTTCGCTCTCCCCCAAATTCCCAAATGCCCGACCGTCTGGAGCCCCACTGGCTCCAGTATTTCGCCGCCTGCGCTTTCGGTTCTCCCTCCATTTGCCCCCCCATACTTAATAATCCGATCATCATCTACTAGTCATTACTACCACTGCTCCGTCACTGCCTCTACTACGACTATCTACAGATCTCCAGCCATTTGACACCCTCTTGAGATCTCCTCCCTCAACCCCCTCTCACGGGTCCCCGATTGAATTACCTCAAACCTCATCCCTGGCACTCCACACCGCACTCTCCTTTCTAATGTCATACTTTTAATGTCCCCAGTCTGACTCCAATCTCCGGTCGGACTCCTCCGCCCCTCATTCATCTTCATGTCTCTACCCCACACTCCCTACTCGTATTCGGCTTCATCTCCTACCCATGGAGATTCATACGTTGGTTTGTGCTCCGGGGAAGCCTCTTCCCCCCGCACAACCCCAGCTTTCCGCATCCGCTGCGCCTGAGAAAAGAAAGCGGGTCCGTCGATGGCATCACCGAGGATTTACAGGCTGTTCGACATGTCGTCGACGCCATGTTCGCTGCGACGAAGCCTCGCCATCATGCAAGAACTGTACGCGGCTGGGTCTCGAATGTGATGGGACTCAGGGTCGCATGACCTTCAAGGTGTATGGGCCACCACAAGCGGATTCGTCTTCCGCCACCGCCAAGAAATGCGAGAAAAAGATCAAGGTTGAGGGCGACACACAAGTAAAGCAGGAGCCAGTAGGGGATGATAACGAGTCCATCGAAGCGCTAGTTGTGTCTCCTACAACAATATCCGACGTGAAGCCCATCAAATACCGCTTTCAGGAGCCCATTTCTCCCGCCGAGTTTTTGTCGTCGTCTCTGGACTGCGTGGAAGGCCGGTATTACACTCATTTCGTCGACCAAGTCTCCACCTTACTCCTCATATATGACAATTCGAACAATATCAACCCTTACCGAAGATTCTTTCCCGAGCTTGCGCGATCATCGCCATCAATGGCTAGCGCTATGCAGGCTATGGGTGCATTGCACCTTGCCAACACATCCAAAGGACAGCAACGAAACAAGCATTTCCAGCAAGCTATGAGCAATTATGGGGAGGTTGTAAAGTCCTTTAGGACCCGGTACACCGACCCTGACCAGAGCGTGCGGTTAACTGATTTTGCCACCTGTCTGTTGCTGTCCCTATTTGAGGTGAGTATCTTGTACACCCGCACACAAGAAACGCACAATGCTAATTAATCAGATGATGGATTCTCAACACCACAATTGGGCTATTCATCTTAAAGGAGCTCGCGAAATCTACCGAATTTTATTCTCCCCCAATAGCGATCCCGCCAAAGAAGCCAAGCGCCTCGTTGAAATCAATCACCCGCTTCGACCCTTCCTCGTTTCTCTTCTTTCATACCTAGATGTTGCGGGTGCCTGTGCCACCAGTGAGGGGACGGTGGTGGAAGGCAGTTACTGGAGAACACATGGGGGTGGCTGGGAATACAACCTGGGTACACCAAGCCTCTCAACCGAGCAACCAGCTTACAGTCACTTTCTGGTGGAATTGCGCCAATGTTGGTCTGTCATGATGGAGATTCAAGCGTCTATCAGCGCGTTTGGAAAGGCGAAACACGAGGGACTGATGTCGCTTGAGCAACAAGACCTAGTCTACCATGAATTGTTGCAACGGTTGGTTCAATGGCGCCTGAATGCACCCCAGACACTCCAGAGACTAGGCGACCTGGATGACGAGAGCTTGCGGCAGTACCCGTACCCAGATGTCCTTGAATATGCTGGATGTATCGAGGCTTACGAGAAGGCGACCAACATATTCCTGCACCGCGTCGGGGCGGCAGC